AGAGGCAGGTGGATCGCCTGAGGTCAGGAGTTTGAGACCAGCCTGGCCAGCAGGGTGAAACCCAGTCTCTACAAAAAATACAAAAATTAGCTGGGCATGGTGGTGCACCTGTAATCGCAGCTACTCAGGAGGCTGAGGCAGGAGAATTGCTTGAACCCAGGAGGCAGAGGTTGCAGTGAGCTGAGATTGTGCCACTGCACTCCAGCCTGGGTGACACAGAGAGATTCCATCTTAAAAAAAAAAAATCTTATTTTGGCAGAGGACAACTGCATTTTGGGGGCATCTTCTTTCACTCCTCCAACCAGATAGACAAATGTCTTCCATGTCTGGGAAGTGTCACTTGTCCCTTCCCAGGGCCTGGTGGCAGCCCCTTGCTTGCTCCAGGTTCCTGGATGGTGTGGAGCCCACCAGGGCCAGGCGCAGTGGCTCACGCCTGTAATCCCAGTACTTTGGGAGGCTGAGGGGTGTGGATCACAAGGTCAGGAGATTGAGACCATCCTGGCCAACATGGTGAAGCCCGTCTCACATGTCTGGGAAGTGTTATTTCCATTTACTAAGTGATGCAGTTCACGCTGATTCCCACTCAGTTATTGGAATGGATGGTGGATTCAATGTTTCATCGCTCCCAACAGATTTGTATAAATTGCAGACTTGGAAAAAACTTGTGTTTTTCCATTTGTGTTGAGATGGAGTCTCGCTCTGTCTCCCAGCCTGAAGTGCAATGGCTTGATATCAACTCACTGTAACCTCTGGTTCCCCTGTTCAAGTGATTCTCCTGCCTCAGCCTCTGGAGTTGCTGGGATTACAGGTGCGTGCCATCACGCCTGGCTAATTTTTGTATTTTTAGTAGACACAGGGTTTCACCACGTTAGCCAGGCTGGTCTCTAAGTCCTGACCTTGTGTGATCCACCTTCCTTGGCCTCCCAAAGTACTGGGATTACAGGTGTGAGCCACCTTGTCTGGCCTGTTTGTCTGTTTTTTTAGATGGAGTTGCTCTGTTGGCCAGGCTAGAGTGCGGTGGCATGATCTTGGCTCACTGCTACCTCTGCCTCCTGGATTCAGGTGATTTTCCTGCCTCAGCTTCCATAGTGCCTGGGACTATAGGCGTGTACTGCCACGCCTGGCTAACTTGTATTTTTAATAGAAATGGGGTTTCGCCATGTTGGCCAGGCTGGTCTTGAACTTCTGGCCTCAAATGGTCTGCCCATCTGAGCCTCCCAAAGTGTGGGACTATAGGCGTGAGCCACTGCACCCTGCCAAAAACTTGTTTCTTAATGAAACCTGCAAGAATGGTGACATTTGAGCACTGGAGTTATTTTGGATACTGGAGAGGAGAGGGCAGGGTTACTGCTGGGGCAAGAGGGCTAAGGAAGTCCCAGTTGTCCTCAGGGAGGTCACAGTAAGTAAAAGCAGCAACTGCCCCTTCACACAGAGGAGGTGTAGGGGGCCGAGGAAGGTGGCTATGGGCAGGGAGAGGCACAGAAGCTTCTGGGAGGACCTCACCTGGGAAGGGAGTCTCAAAGGCAGCCAAAGGAAGGACGTGTGAAACTGAGTCTCCACGTGACCATGCAGCGGGAGGGAGAAGGGGCTTCTCTGTCCGGCTGGGTGACCATGGAAAGAGGACTTATACAGGGTGCCTGTTCTCTAAGTGTGTGGCTGCCTTTGCTCACAGTAACCCAAATACTGGCCATGTAAGTCTACTTGTTAAGGGATAATTCACTCTGTGCCAATGAGGAAGGACTTGAGGTCAAGCATACGCTGTTTGTTTACTTTGGAGTCTTGTCCCTGAGGGAGAAGGCACAGTCCCTTCTTCATTTCACACAGCAGAGGGGGCAGAGGGGCAAGGATACTGCTTTTCTTCTGGGGGGTGTTCAGCTGAAACAGTGCTGTGTTAACCCTAATGCCCTCATTATCTCTCCTTCCTTTTCTTTCCACAAAAAGACACTGATCGTATCCCTGTGCCAGGCTCTGTGCTGGGTGCTGGGGACTCACCAGGGATGAACAAGGTGGGATCGGATCACTGCTCTGTGCCCTACAGCCCAAACTTCACTTCTCCCCTCCTGGCGAGGGAACAGGTCAGGGTGGTTATCCTACACGTTCATCCCTGTAAGACCAGGCACTAGCACCAGCTTACAAAATTGGCAGCACCCAGTGCAAAACAAACATGCAGGACCCTTTGCTAAAATGATTATGAAGCATTTCCAGATGGCCATTACAGAGACTAAACTAGGTGTGGGGTTCTAGTGATCCACTGCAGAGCACGGCAACCGTAGTTAATAATGCCCTGTTATATCTTGAAGTGGCTAAACAGTAGATTTTAAATGTTCTTATCACAAAGAAATGGTCAGAATGTGAGGTGATGCCTGTGTTCATTAGCTTGATTTAATAACTCCACAACGTCTACATATGTAGTAATATCGCATTGTACCCCATAACTAAACACAGTATTATTAACAACACAATTAAAATGCAAAACAGAGCCAAACGTGAGGCCCTTGTCATCTGCACAGGTGACAGACTGTGAAAGCCAGCCATGTGGGGCACCACGTTCCTGTCTAGTGATGGGACGGAGGTGAGCAGGGAGGCAGGAGGAAGCGGTAGGGAGAGAAGGGGAGGAAGCAGGTAGCTGACAGTGAAGTGATCGGAGCCTCACATTCACAATAGCCACCCAGGAAAGCCCCTGGTTTTCATTCTTTTTTTTTGGTTGTTGTTGAGATGGAGTCTTGCACTGTTGCCTGGGCTGGAGTGCAAAGGCATGATCTCGGCTCACTGCAGCCTCTGCCTCCTCTGGGTTGAAGTGATTCTCCTGCCTCAGCCTCCCAAGTAGCTGGGATTACAGGCGCTGGCCACCACGTCTGGCTAATTTTTTTGAATTTTTAGTAGACACAGGGTTTCACCATGTTGGACAGGCTGTCTTGAACTTCCAACCTTGTGATCTGGATTACAGGGGTAAGCCACCGTGCCCTGCCCCATGGATTCTTTAAGAACGAAAACCAGCTGGGTGTGGTGGCTCACACCTGTAATGCTAGCACTTCGAGTAGCCAAGATGGACAGATACTTGTGGTGGGGAGTTGGACACCAGCCTGGCCAACATGGAGAAACCAGTCTCTATTAAAAATAATACAAAAATTAGCCGAGTGTGGTGATGCATGCCTGTGATCCCTGTAGCTGGCCACAGGTGGATTTTTTTTTTTAGTTAGCTACTTACAGAATTTTATTTATTTATTTATTTTTCACAAGTGGATTTTTAAAGGGAAAAAAGAAGCAATTCCTGGCTGGGTGCGGTGGCTCACGCCTGTAATCCCAGCACTTTGGGAGGCCGAGGTGGGCAGATCACCTGAGGTCAGGAGTTCAAGACCAGCCTGGCCAACATGGCGAAAACTTATCTCTAATTAAAACAAACAAACAAATAAATAAATAAATAAATTGGCTGGGTGTGGTGTCAGGTGCCTGTAATCTCAGCTACTCAGGAGGCTGAGGCAGGAGAATCGCTTGAACCCAGGAAGGGGAGGTTGCAGTGAGCCGAGATGGAGCCATTGCACTCCAGCCTGGGTGACAGAGCAAGACTCCGTCTCAAAAAAAAAAGAGCAATTCCTGAGTTGTTAACAATTTACATTATTATCAAATAAACTATTGATGGGCTCTATATTGTTAAGCTGTAGGTTTTGGGTTATAGAGTCCGGTGTGGCAGTACTAGGTTAATTTATAGCTACTTATGGCAATAGTAAGCAGTTTCGAGACATGAATACATAGCTCAAAAAAGGGAGAGTAGGACCTGATGGCTGTCTCATTTCAGTGCCTCTCTGGGCCTGATAGTTTAAAAGGATTGGCATTCCTCTGATAAAAGGTCTTCTTTTCTCAGAAACATATTGTAACTTTGCACCCAGTTTTCAGATACACATTGTTGTAACTAGAGTTTCTGCTGAATGAAACAGTCAAATGTAGCAAGTGTGGGTTCCCGTTTACCTCCCTCCTTCCTGTTCCTGCCCTGTTGCCCCACCCCATTCACTGGGACCTCCTTGTTTCCCAGCACAACCTCTGCTTGAAAAGACCATGTTAATATCTGGTGATAGTCTTGCTTTATTCTTTCTACTATAATTACATGAGAATTCCTGCTGTCCTGCTTCTGATAATGTTCTAGAATGAACATTAATAAGGAGAGGAGAGACCCTTGGAAAGCCAATACCTCCAAAACCTGTGGCTTGTGAGATTGCACAATGGCAAGAAACATTTGGACCTAGCTTTTGGCAGTACACTGTGTCCAGATTGCCTGGAGTCCAATTTATGCTACTCAGCAGTTTCACTCCCTATTGGCAAAAGAATTTAATTTTTATTGGATACCACTCAGGCTCTAGGACATAGAGTGATTGCCCGACGGCAGTTCATGGCCATTTGTTACTGAACATAGACAATGTTCGGGGTAAAGAGCTCAAAAGTAGAAAAGTGTATTTAAATGGTGGTGCGTGCCTGTAATCCCAGCTACTCAGGAGGCTGAGGCAGGAGAATTGCCTGAACCCAGGGAGCGGAGGTTGCAGTGAGCCGAGATCGCGCCATTGCACTCCAGCCTGGGTAACAAGAGCGAAACTCCATCTCAAAAAAAAAAAAAAAGAAAAGTGTACTTAAAATGATGAAAGGACTGGGTCAATATGAAGGACTGATGGCTGGGATTCCTTCCGGCTCTGACGGCTGTCATACCTATGCTTACCAGATGCTGGTTTTGCAATGCTTTCGTGGTTCCCGTTTTCTCAAGAGAGCCTAAAGAAGGTGCTCAGGACAAAATTAAATTTTAATCTATGCTAATTTTCAAAGTATGAGCCTCGGTTTTCTTATTTGATTAAGAGAGGTATTTATAATATCTATCTCATGGGAATGTTATGAAGATTACAAGTAATGGTGTGTGGAAAATGCTTTGTAAATGAAGATATTATTGTAACTCAGTTCTCCATAAGAACTGGATAGGAAATTGTTACAAACTATCAACTGAAGAATGATGAGGTTCATAAATTTGGAAAGGACAGCTTTATTTTTCAAAAAGGGCTACAGCCTTCAGGGGGGCCATGGAAGTGTAGCCTCTGGCGAGAAGCTGGAAACAGGCACTTTGAAGCTTAGAAGAGACAGGGATTTATGCTGAATGGGGTGGCAGAATATACATATATTCAATAAGCTACATTTATGAATATTTATGAGATGGGAAAGGTGCACATGAGCAATTGAGCCTCATGCTTCTCTGTGGGTCCCATGTTGAAAAAATGGTGGCACTGAAAGTGTGATCTCAGGGTGAAGTTTTCAGGACTCCGATGTCAAAAGGTGAAGCAGAGGACAGGAAAACCCTCACTGTGCATCTTCCATAGATGGCCAGAACCGCTCCGTGGTCAGTGGTCGCATATTAGGAAGGAATGTTGTTCAGCTGTGTACAAACCATACAAAGCGAGGGGCAGCAGTTCCCCCTTTGGTTGAACTCAGTGGTGGCATCTTTGAAAGGCCTGGTTTCTGTTTATCCCTAGGGAAGAAAACCAAATGGCATTTAGAGAGGGAGGGGGTGTAACCAGGCATGTCCAGCCTCTCACCCTATATTAGTCAGTTTTTAGGCTGTAGATAAATACACACCCAAGACTGGGAAGATAAATAGGTTTTTATTTATTTATTTATTTTGAGATGGAGTTTTGCTCTTTCATCCAGGGTGGAATGAAGTGGCGCGATCTTAGCTCATTGCAACCTCTGCCTCCCGGGATCAAGCGATCCTCCCACCTGAGCCCCCCAAGTAGCTGAGATTACAGGCATGTGCCACCATGCCTGGCTAATTTTTGTATCTTTAGTAGAGACAGGGTTTCGCCATGTTGGCTAGGCTGGTCTCAAACTCCTGGCCTCAGGTGATCCACCGGCATCGGCCTCCCAAAGTGCTGGGATTACAGGTGTGAGCCACTGCACCCAACTGGTAAGCAGGTTTGGTGAAGCCTCACAATCATGGTAGAAGGTGAAAAGTGCTTCTTACGTGGCAGGGGCAAGAGAGAACGAGAGCCAAGTCAACGGGGTTTCCCCTTATAAAAGTATCAAATTTTGTGAGACTTATTCACTACCATGAGAACAGTGTGGAGGGGAAACAACCCCATGATTCAGTTATTTCTCACTGGATCCCTCCCACAACACGTGGGAATTACAGGAGTATAATTCAAGACGAGATTTGGTGGGGACACAGAGCCAAGCCATATCTCACCCCATTATGGCCAGGAACTCAGCTTTGAAGGTTCTTGGCCAACAGGGAGTCTGTTCAGTCAGTTGTGGAGCTTAGAATTTTATGTTTCTCTCTCAAAATAAACCCTAAATATTGTCTGGTAGAACAGAGGAGCTTGTTAAAATGCAGATGCCCAGATTTTACCTCTAGATTGAGTAGTAGGCATAGAATCAGTGACTGATTCTGATGAGAGGCACTAGGAAGCACTCAGCCTATTTTGTTGAATGAATAAATGAAGCGGATGTGAAATGAAATTGGAAGGATGAGTAAGGCTTTGAACAGTTTTGAAGGATGACGAGAATGAGGTAGGCATGGCATGTTCTAGACTCAGAGGCCTGCACAAACCCCTGACCATACTGGTTTGAAGAACTGTGTGTGGCCTGGTGTGTCCTCATGTGCCAAGGGGCATAATGGGAGATGAGATTGCAAAGGTAATTTAGAGTCTGATCTTAGAGAACCTTGAATACCATAATGAAGGTTTGGATTTTGGAATTCTGTCATGATGTCCTTCATAGCAGCATAATTTTCCTGAAAGATGTCTTGGAGAGACAAAAGCCTGGAGACAGGGTGGCTACTGGGAGGCTATTGAGCAGTTGAGCAAGAGCGACAGTTGGAATAAAAGGCAGGGGACAGAGACACTGGGAAGTGGTGGGGTTGAATGACCAGGGCCTGGCAGCTGAGTGGTATAGGAGGGAAGCTAGAAGAGAAGGGGGCATGGAGGGTCACAGGCTGAGTAACTGCCCTGGGCAGAGACAAAAACATAGCAGAGTTGGTCTGAATATGTTCAGTTCTCTAGGTGACTTTCTGAAGTCTTGTGGTTTGGGGTCCGTCACTAACTCCGAACACACTCAGCGTGCTCTGGCGAATCAACTCTTGCTTGGACCTTTTTCTCCTGCTGTTGCCAAGACACCAGCAAAGCCCACTGAGTCCAGTGACAGGCCCTTCCTCTTAAAGGAGAATGCCAGCTACTTTCGAAGGAATGGGGTTCTAATTTTTTTGGTACTCCTTTCTCATCTGCATCCTCATGGCAACAGGGAACACACGGCTTGCTCTTGCCTACAGCTCTGAGATTTAAGATTCGCAGAGCTGCTGGGTGGGCAGTTTTTGAAGACAGCCTTTAGTTTTTGTGTTTTTTTTCCTTCTTGGCCCAGAAAAACTAGTTAAATGCAGGAAATTAAGATCAAATCATCTGAGTACTCATGCACTAAATCCCATTAGATAGACAATCTCTAAGCCCTGATTCTTTTGTTCTTAAGCTGTCTTCATGCATAAATATACAGCACTGCCAGAACCGAACGGTGTTTATTACAAGCTCATTTGAGAGTTGTGCTGATATGAAGCAGTCACATTGTCTGCTACAGAGGAGATGCTGAATTCTACATGGGAGGTGTTCTGGTTTCCATGTTTCTGACTCTTGGGAGCAGGTGGAGTAGGAAGTCATTGTTAGGTAAAAGCTCAATAAAGAGATGCTTCTTCCTGCTTACAAAAGCCACCTAAAACACTTTTCTCATTACAAGTCGAATTTAAGGCACAAATCACAAAGTAGGCTGAGCTACTCAAAGATAAAAGATTCCTAGGACAATATGCATTTAGTAGCAGGAATTTTGCAAAGTATATTGGAGAGGAGAAACCTCCATAGCAATATAATGAATAAAGGTGGTACTTGAAGTGCTTCTTATAGAATATGAAATTTATATCTCCGTGGGTACTTTTCCCTAGGCACTGTCAAAACAGATGCAATCAGTTTCTGATCTGTAGCAGTTTACAATCTAAGAATAAGACAGAAGAATATACAGAGAATTGTCTTAGACTGTTCAGGCTGACATGACAAAATACCATTGAATGGGTGGCTTAAACAACAGACATTTATTTTTTTCACAGCTCTGGAGGCTAGAAGTCTGAGATCAGGGTGCCAGCAGAGTTGGGTTCTGGCGAGGTCTCTCCTCTTGGCTTGTAGACAGCTGCCTTCTTGTGTTCTCACAAGACAGTGCTGTGTCTTCACACAATGGACATTCCTCTTGATGATCAAACCCAATTTCAGTCCAGTATTGGCAGCCATGTATTTCAGAGGAAATGAGGCCTCCCTCCAGCTCAAGGGGGTCTTCTTCAATAATCTAAGTCAACTCAGTATATCATGTTATATGTAAAATTTTCGGTGCCACAAAAGAAGTAGCACTCAAATATAAATTTCTTCTATAGAAGGCAATTTACTTCTATAGAAGGGTGCGGGCTCACAGATGGAACAATGGCAAGTGCATACCTCAACAAGGGGTACTTATTCCCAATGGAGGACACTCCTACTGCTTTGTCGTCCCCCTGTTGGCTGGGGTTAGACCGCATAGTCTAGGCAAATTCTGATTGGGACCAGAGGTACGAGCCAGAGTGGCAGGGTTGGTAGTTTGGCGGGAAGGATGGTTACGAGCAGGTCAGAGCAGGTAGCTGGGGTCAAAGCAAGTGACCAGAGCAGGAGACTAGAGCAGGTGACTAGAGTAGGTGACTGGAGCAGATGACCAGAGTAGGTGACTGAAGTAGGTGACTGGAGCAAGTGACCAGAGCAGGTAACCGGAGCAGGTGACTGGGATGAGTTAGGACAGGGGAGGGGACCAGGGGAACAGATGTAAACTACTGATTAGAACTGGTGGAGAAGGTTGTTTACTGAAACTACAAGGAAGTTAAACTTTAAAATAGAGAATTGAAGAATAAGACAGCTGAGCATACTGACACACTGATTCTTTGAAGAGAAACTTGGAGTTCACTATATCTAACAATCATATGTGACTATTTCATAACTCCTATTCTGAGTACTGCCTCGTCCTAACACCACTCTCAAATGAACTTGTAATAAACGTTTGATGCTGGCAATGCTATAGATTTAGGAATATGAAGAAGCCATCCAGCGACTGCTTTTGGCATAGGTTGGAATTATGGGTTGAATGGTCTCTCCTGCAAAAATATGCTGAAATCCCAACCTTTGGCACTGGTGAATGTGATATTTGAAAACAGGATATTTGCAAGTGTAATTAAGCCGAGATGAGTTCATTAGAGTGGGCCCTGATCCACCATGACTGGTGTCCTCATAAGAAGAGGAAAATGCCATGTGAAGGTGCAGACACAGGGACAATGCTACGTGATCATGGAGGCAGAGATTGGAGTGCTGGACCTACGAGCCAAGGAATGCCAAGGGTTGCCAGCAGGCATCGGAAGCTGGGAGAAAGCTACGGAACAGAGCCTCCCCTAGAGTCTTCAGAGAGAGCATGTCTTTGTGGACACCTGGATTTGGCCTTCTGGCCTCCAGAACTGTGAAAGCATAAATATCTCTTGTTGAGGCCACCAGTTTGTGCTATTTTGTCATGGCCACCCCAGAAAAATAAAAAAAGAGCTGATTAATGACACAAGAAGAGAAGCAGCTGGGAAGTTCTGGAAATATTTCCTCCCACTCCCTTTTAGAAAGGGCATCACGATGGGGCATTTCTTCCACTGTTTTTGTCCATCATGATTTTGGTGCATGGAGTGGCTGCAGCCATCTCAAAACTGCAAGGGGACAATGCTGAGGACAAATGTCAACATGCAGGGCCCCGGTAGAACTGAATGTATAGGATCATGATGATGCCACTGAGCCGTCAAATTATCCTGGAGTCACTGGATTTTCTACTGTGTGAGATAATAAATTGGCTCTTTCCTTGTACCACTTTCAGTTAGGTTTTCTGTTATCTGCCTACAGAACATCTTTGATACATCAAAGGTTAGTGGTGTCTAGAGGGAATCACTGAGGTCAGGAAATCTTTTGTCTTCTACCAGCTGCTGACTGTGGCCATCAATCCCAGTAAGTCCTATGCAGAGAAGACACTTTCTGAAAATGCACACCGTTTATTACTAGCCAGTCCCAAATTCCTTTAAAGGCTTCTTACCTGGTGAAGTTGCTGGGTCCCTTACAAGCCTTGCGGTCTTACTGGGCTTTGTACGTGTTATCTGTCCCAGAAACACTCTCCCCCACTACAGTCTCCTCCACCTAGATACTCTCTGCCCATGCTCTAGGTTTCAGCTTCAATACCATTGCCTTGAGAATTCTCTACTGATCCCCAAGCCAGCCCCTCTAATGGCTTTCTGGGCACCTTGGACTTGCCCTGTCTTAGCATTTACTACACTGTATTGTAATTGCCTGTTTACTGTTGCTGTCTCCCACTAGACTCTTGATGGCAGATACTCTGAACGTCCTGTTTACTGCTGCATGCTCAGTCTAATACAAAGCCTGACTCACAGTAGGCACTTTATATATGTCTGTTAAGGGAATAAAATAAAAAGACATGGCAGTGTCTGTAATTTAGAATTAATCTATATTTAGGCTAGGGCCATGGAAAAATGGGAGCTGGGCTGGGAGCTGTGGCACTTGCTTGTAGTCCCAGTGCTTGGGAGGCTGAGGTGGAAGGATCCCTTGAACCCAAGAGTTCTGTGCCACCCAGACTGACGAATCTGCACTGTTTGGCATCAATATGGTACCCTCCCAAGGAGCAGAGAACCACCAGGTTGCCTAAGGAAGGGTGAACTGGCCCAGGTCAGAGATAGAGCAGGTCAAAACTCTCATGCAGATCACAAGTGGGATTGTGCCTGTGAATAGTTGCAGCCCTCCAGCCTGGGCAACGTAGTGAGACCCTGTCTCTAAGAAACAAAAAGAAAAGAAAAAGAAAAGGGAGCTAGGCAGGGCTTTGACAAAACACAAAGCAAGCCAGACAATCTCTGACCCCGGCCTTGGGCTCCTAAACTGGGATTCTTCACTCACTCCCTTTTACTTCTCTTTTCAGCTCTCCTGAATGTTCTCTAGGTCTGGGCCTTAATGGGTACTTACCAGTTAAAAAAAGGAAATGATAATGGGTTACATAGGAGTGGCCAGTGTATCTATTACTTCTAGGGAAAAAACACAATGTCTTAAGTACCTGCAAAGACAATGTTTCCAGAAAGCCCCTAAAAAATTAATACCAACAATTTACAATTGGGCAGGAAGCAGGAAGCAAGTGGCAAGTGAGACTCTTAGTACCTCTATAATACAGTAGGCGGTTTTTGCCTTCTTTGGTTTCAGTAAGAACTTTTGGGCGATTATCCCATCTTTGATACTTGAAAACATTTTCCAGGAGTGTTCTTCATGTGGTTTACTTAGTCTTAGGTCATTCATTCCTTAAGGCTGGCCAAGCATTTGTTTTGCAGATTTTTCTTCTTAGAAGAATTTAGGCAGTGTTAAGTATAATAATTCCAACTAAATTTTTTCTATATGGGGAAGGTTAGTCATTCAACAAACATTTGGGACTTCCACATATACACCAAATACTGTGCTAAGCACCTGCTGCTCTTACCCAGTACCACAGTCCACCACGCAGGGAGGCAGGGACAGACTCAAGCCCTATCCTACAAGATTTTATAGTTCAGTAGGGGAGACAGACTACAAATACATAAATATAAAAATATAAACACTTGCTTTAAGGGTTAGGAGTGAAACCAACAGATTGTTAAGACAGAGGATAAAGTACCGGTAGGGAACATAGTCAGCGTGATCAGGAACAACTTCCCTCGCAAAGTGACATTCGAGTCAAGACTTAAAGGATGAGAAAGGCGCCAAGCATCGGAAATGGGGTTACGTTCATGTAAGTCAGTTAAAAATAAACCCCAAACTCTCCAGCAGCAAGATTGGACGCGTGGGGCCAAGAAGCCTAGCTGCCAGCAGTAAAGATGGCGCGCCGCGGGGGGGGGGGGGGGCGGGGCTTGTGCGCGCCCTGATTGGGCGAACGGGGGGTGACGTCACGTGCGGGCCGCCGAGCATCCGGGCTCCTGGAGGCGGCGCTGCGGAGGTTCGCGGGAGACGCGCGGCGCGCGGGGCTAGCGGGCGGCCGAGCGGACAGCGGCTGGGCGCTCTGGGGCGGCCGGCGGGGCCGAGCGCCGCGCGTCCCGAGCATGGCGGGCTCCCTGCCTCCCTGCGTGGTGGACTGTGGCACCGGGTAAGAGCCGCTCGGCGCCCACCCCCGCTCCTCCGCGGCCCCGCTCCCGGCCCCCGGCGTCCACCTCACCTGGAGGTCGACCTGCCTTGCCGCCCCGGGATTGAGCCCCGCGACCACCTGGGCACGTGGGGCGCCGCTTCCCTCCTAGCCTTGTCTTGACTTCGTAAAACCTCTTGTTCTCCGCCGGGAAGGGCCACGAGAGGGGAAGCACGGAGGGGAGGGACGCGGTGCCCACTCTGAGGGACCCCGGCGCTCCTCGCCTCCCCCCGACGTGCCGGGGCTCCTTGACCCGCAGCCCGGCCCCGGCCGCCGCCAGGGTGGCCAACCTGAGGGGCACGGGGAGCGCGGGACCTCCTGGGAATATTCGCCAGCGTGAGGCACACGCTGCAGATCCTTTAACGTCACTCACCTCCTAGCGAACGGTGTCCCTGCCTTCCAGCGTTCTCAGCGCTGGCCCTGGTTCTATGCCCGCGTGTGCGTGTCATTCCCCCTGGCTGATGGTTCTTTACCACCTGCTTGTGGAGAGAATTGCATCGATCTCCCAACTTGACACCTTTTTTACTGCCCTCTCTGCTCTTTCCTAGTATGAAATGGCACACTCAGAACAAGCTGTCGCTTTGGTTTGCATAGATTTGCTTTTTCGCTTAAAAATGATGTGTTTAAAAAGACTCCATTTTGAAAAACACCCTAAATTTGGGAAAGCACGTTTGTGGAATTGGGATAGAGGTTTTTGTTTTTAACTTTTTGAATGTGACCTCTTCTTTCGATGCCGTTAAGATGTTAAAGAGAGACCTTAGGAAATGGCCTGAAATATCAGTGGCACAAGTTAGCTGGTTGTAGTAAGGTGATGGCTGAATCCATTTAGCTGGTAGTTTGGGAATACAAGCTTGCCTGCTTGCATTTTGGATGTAGTGCTTAGTAAAATAGCCTGGAAGTAAATTTGGTCTCTTACAGATTTTTTTTCAAGAAGGGATTTTAATCGTTTTTGCCACGAAGTGTTCCATGGCATGTTCACCTTACCCTTGATTCTTTCTGCAGAAAAATGCACTTGGTTTGGTTTCCTTGACAACCTTGTGGGGGTGCTTTCTTTAATTTGCCACAGTCCATCTCCTACTGATAGTTCTTTCCTTTTGCTGCTGAAGCGACCAGAATTGGTTGCAGCCTGGAAAAATCTGCCTCTTTGCTTGTGTGAATTCTTTTTAAAATCGCATCGTGTCAAGCTCTATAACTCTTTATTTTAGAACTTGCTTTTCTAACCTAAAACACAAGCCAAAATCAGCGTTGTTGATACAACTTCCCTCTCCCAGTTATTGGCTACCTTAACTCATGCCCTCCCTCCATGGATTCACCCCATGTCTCCTCAGATCTGATTGTGTCAAGGGTGAAACCAACATGTGAAAATATTTTTCATTTCCACATTCGCACGTGAGATTTTTGCTTTGTATTATTGGTCTTGCAGAGCGATTGAAATATAAAGGATTTCTTGGTAGAAGAAATAAAATAATGCTCACAGAGTTGTCATGCTTTTAATGTTAGTTAAATCATGGACCTTACTCATCATTCTTGCTATAGATACCCAAAATGTCGTGCTCAGTTTTGACCTTTTGAGGTAAGTGATTAATGTAACTTGGCTAACTTGGAGAGTCAGCGTCTATAGATCATTATTTTGTGGCCCAAAGTTGTGCTTCAGACATTGGTGTTAAGACTTAGAAACAGTGTCAGGGAATCCTTGTATGAATTCCCCATATCCAGTGTATGGCCAGAAGGAGCCTGAAAGAGCCTGAAGTTACCAACTTGAGCACATCAGTAGTTCTTATGTTTCCCAGAGAGCTAAAATGATTTTTGGATAGAGTTTTGCCTCCAAATAGGACAAAAAGTGGTAAAATTCAGATAAAAATAACCAAGCCAAAGGAAAAGAATGAACCTGGAAAGTCACCCTACATTCGACCTAAGTCTTTCTGACAGCATCATAGTTATGTAATTCCTGTCATCAGAAATCAAGAGAAATACCTGTTTCTTGGTGAAAAAAGCCTTTTTTTGCAGTACTGAATTGTAAAAGAGACATTAATCATCATGGGCACTAATGATTTATTGGACAGCATGGTAAACAGTATTTTTTACAAATAAATTTCACCCCAGTATCTTTGAATTCTCCTCTGGTAAACCCCAGAACAAACCGAGTGAGCACTGGTATGCTGGGGGCCAGGATAATGTGGACAAAGGGATCTGCTGGATCCAAAAATAAAGCTTCGTCTATTTAAAGGGATGACTAGGCTGCGAGTTTTGAGAGTATTTCACAACTCCAGTCTCACTTCTCTGAGCCAGACTTCTCAAATGAAGTCTTTTGCATTTTCAACTTATTTTGAAATAATTTCAAATTTACTGAAAGCTGGAAGAGAACAAAAAACTACTATGTACTCTTCTTCCAGTTTTACCAACTGTTAACATTTGCTTTGTCACTCTCTGTATGTCCATACATATTATTACTTGCCTGTACTGTTTGAGAGTAAGTTGCAGACATTATATCCTTTTATACCAAAATACTTCAATGTGTAATTTCTGAGGACACATTTTCTCTTCTAGAATCACATACCAATCATCAAAATCAGTATATAGGATCCTACTGTATATATGTTAACGTATATACAGTAGTATCCTGTAAGTATCCTATATACAGTATGGATTCATGTGAATGGTCCCATTTATGTATTCTATGAAATGTCACCCATAAAAGACCTCTCCCATTGAGCATCACGTGTTGTATCTGGTGGTTATCGTGTCTTTTAAGTCTCATCTAATCTGGAATAATTCCTTAACCTTTTTTTTGTCTTTCAAGATGTTGACATTTTTCACAGCCCGTTGTTACCTCCTGTTTCCCTGTGATAGATACAGGATATGCGTATTTGTCAGGACTACCACAGAAGTCCTCTTGATCCTTCTTAGTGCATCCCATCAAAAGGCAAAGGACGGGGACTCGCCTCGCTCCTGATGACGTTCACTTGGATCATTTGGATGTCCACGACGTTTCTTCACTGTTCAGTTACTGTTTTCCTTTGTAATTAATAAGATTTCTTCACTGTTCAGTTACTGTTTTCCTTTGTAATTAATAAGATTTCTTCACCGTTCAGTTACCGCTTTCCTTTGTAATTAATAAGGTTTCTTCACTGTTCAGTTACTGTTTTCCTTTGTAATTAACTCTCCCATTTGTGGGGAAATAGTTTATATACATACTCTATTCTTTTTTTTTTGTTTTTGACTCTGTTGCCCTGGCAGGAGTGCAGTGGCGTGATTTCGGCTCACTCCAACCTCCACCTCCTGGGTTCAAGCAATTCTCCTGCCTCAGCCTCCCAAGTAGCTGGACTATAGGCGCATACTACCATGCCTGGCTATTTTTTTGTATTTTTAGTGTATATGGAGTTTCACTGTCTTAGGCAGGATGGTCTCAATCTCCTGACCTTGTGAACCACCCACCTTGGTCTCCCAAAGTGCTGTGATTACAGGTGTGAGCCACTATGTCTGGCCTGTTGGTGATTGTTGCCTGAATTGCTTATTATGGTGATGGTTGCAAAATGGGTCATTTTTAAACTCTAGTATTCTGTCTCCATTTATTAGTTAACATTTTATCTTAAGGGAGAACTTTTCCTAGCCCTCATTTGTTTGTTTATTGTCTGTATGAGTTGGCATTCTACTCAAAGAGTTATCCATTATGCCGTCTTATTGTTGTAAGTGGGTTATTATCTATTATCACCATGATTTGTTTTGATGCTTAAATTGCCCCAGATTTGGTCATGTGAAGCTCATTCAGGCTGGCTCCCATGTTTTTATTTTTTATTTCTTTATTTTCTGAGGTGGAGTCTTACTCTGTCGCACAGGCTGTAGTGCAGTGGTGTGATCTTGGCTCACGGCAACCTCTGCCTTCCAGGTTCAAGTGAATTCTTCTACCTCAGCTTCCTGAATAGCTGGGATTACAGGGGCATACCACCATGCCTGGCTGTTTTTTTGTATTTTTAGTAGAGACGGGGTTTCGCCATGTTGGCTAGGCTGGTCTTGACCTCCTGACCTCAGGTGATCCACCCACCGTGGCCTCCTAAAGTGTTGAGATTACAGGCATGAGCCACTGCACCTGACCTTCCATGTTCTTTAGACATGTCTTCATTTTTTGAGCATTCTGCTGTTATCGAAAGAATGCAAGGATATCTTTTTGTATTTTTGCCTGAGTATCTGTGCGTTAGATTTTTAGAAATGGGATTTCTGGGTTAGAGGACAAATGCATATGTAATTTTGCTAGGCAATGTCAAATTCCACTTGTTAGTGTGCATTCTCACCAGTAATGTGTGAGGATACTTGTGTCTTACAGACTCACCAATAGAGCCTATTGCCATTTTGTAAATTTACCAACCTAGAAGAAATGATAACTTAGTATCTTTGTTTTGTGTTGCTGTACCAGAATACCACACACTAGATAATTTATTTTATTATTATTACTATTGTCTTTTGAGATGGAGTCTCGCCCACTTGCCCAGCCTGGAGTGCAGTGGTGTGATCTCAGCTCACTGCAACCTCTGCCTCCCAGGTTCAAGTGATTCTCCCATCTAAGTGCTCCCCTCCCCTCATCCCCCAGTAGCTGGGATTACAGGTATGAGCCACCACGCCTGGCTAACTTTTGTATTTTTGTAAAGATGGGGTTTCACGATGTTGGCCAGGCTTGTCTTGAACTCCTGACCTCAGGTGATCCTCCCGCCTCGGCCTCCCAGAGTACTGAGATTACAAGCCTAATAGTGAAAGTGATAGCAGTTCATTGGAGCGAGCATCCCCTAGAGTTCTACAGAATGACTGAGGACTTTGATTGTACATTGTTATTTATTTGATTTAACTTCTTTGTTTTTATTTTGAGACAGGGTCTTACCCTGACCCCATTTCCCCTCCCCACGCCCTTCAGATGGAGTTTTGCTCTTGTTGCCAGGCTGGAGTGCAATGGTGAGATCTCAGCTGACTGTTAT